TAAGGCATTCATGATCTGAGCCACAGTCAGCTCCCGGTCTTGTTTCTGCTGACTATATAGAGCTTCTCCATCTTCGGCTACAAAGAATATAATCAATCTGATTTTGGTATTGACTATCTGGTGATGTCCATGTGTAGAGTCGTCTGTTGTGTTGTTGGAAGAGGGTGTTTGCTCTGACCAGTGCATTCTCTTGGCAGAACTCTATTAGCCTTTTCCCTGCTTCATTCTGTACTCCAAGGCCAAATTAAATTGTTACTCCAGGTGTTTCTTGACTTCCTACTTTTGCATTCTAGTCCCCTATAATGAAAAGGACATCTTTTTGGGGTGTTAGTTCTAGGAGGTCTTGTAGGTCTTCATAGAACCATTCAACTTCAGCTTCTTCAGCATTACTGGTTGGGGCATAGACTTGGATAACTGTGATAATAAATGCTTTGCCTTGGAAATTAACAGAGATAATTCTGTCATTTTTGAGATTGCATCCAAGTCCTGCATTTTGGACTCTTGTGTTGACTATGATGGCTACTCCATTTCTTCTAAGGGATTCTTGCCACAGCAGTAGATATAATGGTCATCTGAGTTAAATTCACCTATTCTAGTCTATTTTAGTTCACTGATTCCTAAAATGTCAATGTTCACTCTTGCCATCTCCTGTTTGACCACTTCCAATTTGCCTTGATTCATGGACCTAACACTCCAAGTTCCTATGAAATATTGCTCTTACAGCATCAGACTTTACTTCCATCACCAGACACATCCACAATTGGGTGTTGTTTTTACTTTGGCTCTGTCTCTTTATCTCAGGGTTTGGCATAAGCCCTCTTGGAGAAAATCACCATTAACCCCACTATAGAGCCAGCAGAACTTACATAGGACTAGGAAACAGACTCTTGCAGGGCACAAACAAAACCTTGTGTGCATCAGGACCCATGAGAAAGGAGAAATATGCAGTACCAGCTCCCATTTAAATATCTCTCTGCCTCACCACCTCCTCCATCTCCTGCCCTGTACCTTAGTTTGCCTGGACAGCACAGCTCATGGAAGAGCCATCTGATTTCCATATCCTCCCCTCCCATTCTGTCCTCCCTCTTCCAGACTTCAGACGCCAGTTTCATGGAACTGCCCTTGACAAGTTGACCAGTGACCTCAATGCTGCTGAATTCATGGTCAATTCTTAGCTCTCATCTTGACCTCTCCACAGCCTCAAACACAATTGCCCCTCCCTCATCATTGAAACCACGTCACCTGTGGACACCACACTCTCCTGGTATCCCTCCTGCCCCTCTGGCTGCCCCTGGGTCTCCACGGTGGCTCTTATCCTTCACCAGGCTAAGTGTTTGAGGGCCCTCCTGTCCCCTCAATCCCTGGACCCTCCTTATTCTCTCTGCCTTCTCTCCCACAAAGACCTTTTCCAGGCTCATGGCCTTGGAGTCTGTCTACAGAATGAACACTTCCAAACTGCATCTCCAGCCTGACCTCCCCGTGGGTTCCAGACTTGACTATGTAGGTGGGTACTTGACAACCTCCTTCACAGCCTGCTTGGCACCTCCATCACAGACTGTCTAACACTGAACTTGACTTCCCCTCACCTGCCCATGCTAGTCTCCACATAGCCACAGAGTTTTCCAAAGTGGTCACACAGGGAATATCTGGGTCATCCAGTGCTTAGGACTCTGTCTTTCATGGTTGATCGCCTACGGGCCTTGGAAAATTCATTGTGGCACACTGCTTTCCTAATGGAGTTTGAATATATTTGAAAATGTTTATAAGCTATTTGAATATCATATCATCTAAGTTCATACTCTACTCTTTGGATGATTTAAATATATCTTGCATTGGAAATCTGATTTCCACCACAACAGTCAGTCACTTTGATGGATTCTGATGATAGTATTCTCACCGGTCCCTGTCCCTGTGCCCTTATTCATCCCACAGACTCAAAAACCCAAGGGATTGTAGGTGCTTGCATAAGCTAGAGAACAGTAGTACCAGGCTTTGTCACAAAACTGTAGCACCAATTTATACTTTTCCCAGAATATTTGCAGTATCCTCTCTGGCCCTTCCCTGGGCTTCCCTGGTGGCTCAGACAGTAAAGCATCTGCCTGCAATGCGGGAGACCTGGGTTCGATCCCTGGGTCAGGAAGATCCCCTGGAGAAGGAAATGGCAACCCACTCCAGTACTCTTGCCTGGAAAATTCCATGGATGGAGGAGCCTTGTAGGCTACAGTTCATAGGGTCTCAAAGAGTCAGACACGACTGAGCAACTTCACTTCACTTCACTCTGGCCCTTGGTATGGACAGACATCTTATTGATAGCAGGTAAAGTGATATTAGGTTCTGGTCTTGATTTCTATTTCTTCATCATGATGAACATGGCTTCGTTCATTGCATTTCCTCTCTGTGAAAAGCTTTAAAAGGAGGGAAGAGAATGGAATTGGGCAGAGGAAGAAGTTGAACCAAAATGGCCCATCAGAGTGGTCCTGAATTGGGCTAAAGTGGCCGAGGCTGACAATCCCATCTGGATCTGTCTTAGGATCAGTTGCCCCTGAGCAGGCAGCTCTGCAGCTCGGACCACCCCTCTTTTCTTAAAGGTGCATCTGAGAGTCAGTTCCTAAGGTTCTCCCTCAAGGCAGATTGGAAGAGCCCTGATGAGAGCCGAGGCCAGTCCTGCACTGACCACTTTCCAGCTAACTTAACTTTCTTAACTTCAGATAAGCCCTTCCCTTCCCAGAGCCCCTCATCCTACCAGGTATCAGGGGCTAAGATGACAGCCCCTAGTAACCCCTAGTGTGCAGCACTCAGCAGTCCATGGGGGGTTCTGTGCCCCTCACCTCACAACCCTCTTACAGGTCAACAACCAGGCAGCAGCCTACATCCTGGGGCAGTGCTGCTGCTGTGTGGTCTGAGGACCTGCCTGTGTCCACCAGCTGCCTGTTGCTGGTTCCTGACAAGGTAAGTACAGAGTTGGAGAGTAACTGCTCAGAAACCTTACAGCATGGCAGAGTCTTTCTAGGT